TCTATCAATATAGTTATACGGTTTTTGGAACGCTTGACAGCTTCCTGGTTCTGATTAAAGCAAACTTTGTCGTAAAATTTTGGGGTATTGTGGTTGCTTAAGTATTTATCAGGCCAATTGTATGCTTGATAGTACATATTTATATATAGCTTTACAGTACATAAGAAGAGAGATTAAAATGGTTACTTTTCACAAATCATAATTTAACTTCCTTTAAATATCCAGATAAATGAAATAGGTATTTCACGCTGGGTATGTAAAGTATTATAACTAATAAATTTATATGAATTCACTGGTAAACGATAGGAATGAATTCGTATAAAGTGAGTATTTAGTTCAGTAATTGGATTGACTTCAAGGCCAATATATTAGATTTATTGTCTTATATTTTTTTATATTACTGAAGTAGTAGACAAGCATACGGCTCGCCTGATAGTAAGCATTTAGCGTAGCCTATGAACGCTTGCAATACCAGAGACATTACATGCATTGCCGACCCTAAAGAAGTGTCATGTACCATATATTCTTTGAAAAACCTCAATAAGTTTATTCTATAACCTGATCGTTTGTGGGAGAAAACATATTTAATACTGCGTTGTACGCGATTATCCAGGCTATAAGGTGACTTTGTTAGTGGCGAGCTGTAAGATGATAAAAAGTGGCCATGGGCATCATGTTAAACAATTCTTCTGAGCACAGTCCAATGTACATAGGTCGTTAATGCACTGTGTGCTCCCGCCCATAAGTGAAAGCAATATTCAATGTGGTGTCGGATTTGCCACTTATAGAGTAATAGTAGTTGATCAAGTACTGCTTCACTCATTAATTTATTTTTGGTTGCCAGTTCCATTTTAGGTATCTCCGAAGTGGCCACGGAACTGTAAGTTGCTAGAGATGTCGATACCAAGAATCTCAACGCTCTTGCAATGCATATCAAATGGTATTTATTTAGCCGTGAATGTACAGGCTTGTGTTTTAGCCGGTTTAAATTGGACTAAGTTTTGTCGTCCCTCAGTTGAGACTCTGGTTATCGTTCTCACGATTTCAGATGTAAGCTGTTGACGATTGTCCTACATGATAGAATGAGAGACATTATTTCGACCCATATCCAGTGCTGTCATCTGTATAACAATAAAGGTTAATGAATATTTTACCAAATTATTGCTGTTATCAACAAGTCTCATCAAAATTCGATTACTATTAGATTTAACTTATTACTAAAGTGAAATAATCGCTATATTAGTAGCACAAAGTTATAGAACGAGAATATTTTACTGAAATGATCATCATCATCATCATATTAGCCTTTAACTGTCCACTGTTGAATATAACCCTCCTCTTTGGGACGTTTTGGCAAGAGTTGCCATGCTTGGCAGGCTATAAATAAAGTAAAACTATAAATGAAAGGACTTTGGATATTTGTTATTCAATCTAGATTTGAATGAAATTTAATACACAGATACTCCATAATTTATCTCAAAATAGTACATAGAATAGGTACTTTATATAAATCCACGAAAAGTCAGGATTGAGCTAGTATTAAAATAAACTTTACTGTAAACAAAGTTTTACATTTGTTGGTCCAAAAATAATTTCACATTCCGAATACAGAAACGAGGTGGCCCTGAACTTCACTCGTGTTTGGAAGAGAATGTGATTTTATAAACTCCAACCTCAGGAACTTGTGAATTTCATTTAGAGCTCTCGGAACTGCGCATGACAGATTTTGGTCCTTCCTAAAAAAAAAAAAACTCTTTGAATTGCATTATCGTGAAGGAGTTTAATGGAATTCGTTTTAACGCCGGCAAATTGGATCACATTGAATTTAGAATATAATATTTTTCGTACGAACGAAGATTCAATGTAATTCCGTGAAAACCATTAATAATAAATATTATTCAAAAAACGTATTTTTACGATTTAATTATCTTCAAATTTGTTACTTTAGGATAGAAAAGACATGGTGCTCCCATACGAGTATTACTAAAATATCTTTTTTATAAAACGAAGAGCTTGCATTATTTTTTTAAAAGAATGTTTTTGAAATCGTAATATTATATAGATACCTAGTTTTATGTTGCTATCTTAAAATAAGAAAGTCATGGAATTAAGGAATAATATTTTTCTTTACAGAGAATGTTGAACAAATTTACCCCTCAGCCTAAAGGTACACTCACATTACATTAGGTTTGTTTCATTAATATTGTAAAACTCGCTTTGCTGTAATTCAGGGAGTACTGATATAAAAATTTATGCATGAAATTAATTCGGGGGTATAGAAGAAGAAGCATGAAAGCAGGATAATTGCTGTAGAGATGAGAGCTTTGTGAAATATATGTAAAATTATGTTAAAAGACAGAGTTAAATATAGAGATTACAGAGAAGTGTGTTTTGAAAGACAATGTACTGATAAAGATCAAAAAGAGAACGTTGCGTTGGTTTGGCCATTTGGAGAGCCTGAATGAAGGAAGAATTACAAAAGAGATTTATCGAGCACGAAGGAATGGAGATGTCTATAGGCGACTAGGCAAATAGATAACGCAGCGAAGGCCTGCTGAAGAAGGTCCAAATTAAAGGTATCTGTAACTGACGAGTGTGTAATAGATGGATGAATATGAGGAAAGCGAAAGAAGTCTGTTTGAAGAATAGAACGCGAAATGCTCTGGGCATTTCGCGTTCTATTGTTTCTGCCTACTCCGATAAGAGACATGTATGACGGATATGTATGTATGATATAGTAGTACATAGTAACAGTTACCTACGATTTTGTTTTTTAAAGTCTACTAGTAGTACAAATAAAAATTCAATTAATTAACTGAATGTTTTATTTTGTTGTCAATTTATGTTTCTGTGATAATTTCAATAAAATTTAACTAAATTTTATTGATTTTATTTTTGATTTTGAACAAATGTAATAAAACTGTAACCATGTTTTCATTATGATCTAATGAAACAGCCTGCACAAGTCCTGTGAGGGCTGATCAACGCTGGGTTCGTCAACGTATTCTTATATAGTTACTATTCCATTTGTATCCCATAAAAATATTCCTGCGAGGGTGGCGCCCTCTGATGTGAAGTGTTCCTAGGGTCACCGGACGATTTTACGTCACCAGTGTACGTTGGATTAAAACCCAGCAACTCGAAGGTAGTAGCCTCCGGAGAAGATGCCGGGGCAATGGGGTTCGCCCCGAGGCCCCTACTTCGCCCGCTCTCACCACCTGGCGGGTGTTGACAAGACATCTCGTCCTTGTCGATTTTACGTGCTCTTCAAAGTTATTTGCAGGAATGTTAACATAATATCAATAGAGTAAATTATGCATTTCAATTTTTTTTTTAAGTATGCTTTTCAATCAATCTTTAAGCGTCTAATATTTCGTAACTTTAAAGTTTGTGTAGAGATTTCTTCATTTTAATTAATACCTTTTAGGTCAATAGCTTTTTAGTACTTTTGAGTGGAGTTCTGTTACTTGTCATATTTTGATATGCTTAATTGTAAAGTAAGCACTTCTTAGAGCCATTCTCGGTCATGGACAATTTATATGGGAATATTAAAAACATTATTATTGGTTTAAGATATTTATATGCACTATAAACGTCAGTTTATTGTAAAAAGAGAGATGATACGCCAATGGACAACCGAAAAGAAAGTGATATTGTTGATTTTCAAACGACTTCAAAAATCAGGTTCTCAATCCGATTGTATTTTTTTGTTTTTTTTTTTTTAATTCATAAGCCGATTTTAATTTTTTTTATTTACAGATTATCTAGAGGGATCGAATTAGCAATGAGGAAGCCCTGCTTAAGTTTAGGGAAAAAAGACAAATTATTAGAACTATTGAGGACAGAAGGGGAAAAATGTTCGGACACTTGATACGACACGACGAACTTATGAGCATTATAATAGAAGGTAAGATAGAAGGAAGGAGGGGAAGAGGGAGACCTAGACATAATTACATCAGACAGATACAAGGAAGGAGTTGGTGTCGTGTCGTATCAAGAGGTGAGGAGACTCGCTGAAAATCGTAGTGAGTGGCAAGAGCTTCACCGACAAGAGCGCAGCTCTTAAATAGGATAGATAGATAGATACAGATTGGTTCCATGGAAATTTTATCAAACTTGGTTCAGTGGTTTAGTTTATCATCAATATCACTTTCAAAACATTTGATTGTGACACAATTGAAGTAGTTTTTTTTTGTGTGGAACACAATCTTATTGAAAATAAAATATAGCCCATGTTACTCGCTAATAATAAAATTTTTAAATTCAAAACTATCTTTTTTAATAGATTTTTTGTATAATGATATTTGAGCGTGTTTGACTACAGGCTTATCTGTTGCAACTAAAGGTTTAAAATTAAAGACAAAAACTTTAATAATGATTATTCATTATAGTATTGTTAGTAATAGAGATTAAAAATCCCATTGCTAGTAATATACCCAACCAGGTCGACCTGCTCGCGGTTCCCCCTGGAAACTATCATAGTTAATTCCTGATGAATTCATCATGATGGGCTAACTGGCCTGTTTTCATTCTCATCAATTACCTTTCACTGGTGCTCCGCCAGCGTATCCCGTTAGCGCAGGCGGGGTTACCATTTCATTTTCATCTACCAAAAAAAAGTATAGGACGATAGGATTATGAGAGTATTTTTTTGTTAAAAATTTTGTCAGTACCCGCTAGGAGGTTATTTTTTTTTTGTCTATTAATTTCTTTGCTCCGGCATTAAAAAAAAATTTTACAGCATATTAGATACAGTTATCATAGTTGTGTTCTTAAAGGTTTAACTTAAAATCTGATGTATGATTCATTTTAATACGTTATCTAGAAGTACTTTATTTTGTTGGCTCAAAATACACACGCATAGAAGACGAGGGATAATAAATAAAAGCTAATAATTTCATCTTGATAACATGTCGGGATGTTATATAAAAATTTGCGATCGGTTCGCAATAATCGTAGGATAGCGATTGCAATGCGGCGGGAACGTTCCTTCTACAACTTGCGTGGACCACTTGTCGAGTCAACGCGGTTGTGACCGCCCGCGCGAACGTAACTGTCTCTCGCTCCCGAAACTGCTAACGTGAAACTAATTTTAAGTTCCAGAACACTATAAGTTATGTTAGTAAAAATGTTTTTACACGATGTGACTTGAATTGAATAATTGTTTTAATCAGTACAACGTTTAATTTAACTCATAGAAAAAGTTTTCTAAACTTATTGTAGTGAAAAAAATTTTTTCTTGTTTTAAATTTTTTCTTTTTGTTAAAAAGTGAGTATTTTGTTTTGTTTACAATGTGTTTGATGACTTTTAAATGTTTTAAATAAACAAGAGGAGGCAGAAATCTTGTAAGTAAGTTTATAATTTATCTTTTATTAATGTAAGTAATTTTCATTATAATTTTACGATCACAGTATGAGCTGGTACTCCTTGGAATATATTATTAGCATAATTATATTTAATAGCACATAAATTCAATACTATACTAATTATTACTTTGTTCTCGAGGCAACTACCTTGATTCTGTGATGTGAATAATAATAAATGATACATAAATTTATATTTACAAAAAAGTATTTATATTTCTCCACAAAATAAATATTAATTATTATTTTAATGTAAGGAAAAAATATTTTAAATAGAAAAATAATCAAAACCGGTTCACTGTTGTTTAAGATATCGCATATGTACATAACTACGAGTACAACAATAAAAAAGCCACTTCAAATATAACAAAATATAAATGAAATAGAAAAATATTTTCTTTTTATAAATTAAATAAAAAAAATCTATTATTAATTGATATTTAGTTAATAGCCGATATTTTTAATGAAAAAAATTATATAGACAAATAAAAATAAAAAATAATTGTAAAGTTAATACGTATGTATTATCATACAATATTACACTGATATTTACGTATTCTTAAAATATTAAAATAATTAAGGCAATGGAAATAATTTAATTAGTATATTATTTTGATATATTCTGAAAGGATTAAAATTAGTAAAAAATTGATAGTAACTATAATTTACTAAAGATTTTTTTCACTATTGAACTCGTGACAACCCTTGTTTCTACCTACATTCTAAGCCTGTACTATTAATCATGTAAATGTCTAAATAACTAGTTATGCTCACAACTTTGTTCACATAACGGAGATTAACAATAGCTTATGTCCTTCTCAATGCCAAATAACATGTATGTGCAAAATTGAATTCTGATTCTTCGGAGTACATCGGATCTTCAAATCGTAGTCAAGTATTGGCATCGCATTCTCTTAGCGACTCCTATTGGGAAAAATTATTATGCGTTACAGTCATATGAAATAAAATGCATGAGTCTATCTATTTGAATTAAACAGTTTTAAAATTACTAACAAACGCTACGTAGTACTAAGTTTGGCACCTGTTTAATTGCCTTAGACGATGTAGACATGCAAATATTTACATTTTATAAAAATACTGCGAAAAATAATATAATAATATAATTTTATGTAATTTAAATTATTATTACACATTAAAAATTAAATGTATTTTACAGCGTTATATATCGTTATATTGCTTTTAGAAGTCCTTACAATTAATTAAGTGCATTCTTAATTGATAGAAGCCACGTTATGTAATACTAATTGGATGATATTTTACAAAATATCGTCACATAATTGTACAGTTTCTAACGTTAAATTATAAAGTAAATAAATATCAACAAATAAATATGGTCTATAATATACATACGTAAAAGGAAATTAATGAACTCACTTTGTTTTTGTCGTTTTCGATAATTGTTTCGAATTTATCTGGAAGTCTTCTTCAGGGGGCGTTCGGGGCTTTGCGTCAAAAAGTTTCGCCTTACACTGAACATGAAAATGAACATAAGTTTTAAAAATACAAGTAGATATTGTTTGATAAAATAAACAGCGAGTTTACGGGGGAGCAAGAATTGTTAATAATGGAATAAATGATTAGTAAACTCACTGCTAGCAATATACCCATATATTGGGTCGACCTCCACGCGGTTCCCCCTGGAAACCATCGTGATTGATTTACTGTTGATTTCATCACGATGGGCTAACTGAGCGAGTTTACTCATCCTACTATTCTTATTTTAAATGAATGAAACGTCGTTGTTGTCGTTGTAAATCTTTATTGCATTAACATACAATGACGGTCTTATATCATAGAGAGATCTTTACCGATAATAATAGATATATTACATGAACTGATAGATATTATACAAATGTTAGATTCAAAATTCTTCGTATGGTCCCGGCATAGAATAGGCCAACCCTTTCTTTCCTGTGGGTGTCGTAAGAGGCGGCTAAGAGGATTTAATGGTCAAGAGATGAGCAGCAGCATCCCTCTTAAAACATGACAAAAGCCTCACCCCGGTTGCTAACCACCTGCCAATCGTGGCAACTACTGACAAACCATCCTCGTGGGGGAGACCTAAGTTCAGCAGTGGACAGTTAACGGCTGATATGGTAGATTCAAAATATTTGAATTTATGAGTAGAACGCAGTTAAGTGTAATAACCGGCAGAAATTTCCTTGCTAGCAGCAATATTTTGCTCCATACAATAATAGCTTCATAGGCGGCAAAATTAATATAGCGATAAGAAGTAAATCCTCTTAATTGAAAAGAGTATTATTGAAATTGATTCGGTATTGACGATGATTTCGCGTATTATGCACACAGAAAATATAGAATTTGTGATGAATTTCATCACGACACACGAACATTTTTTTAAGTTACAAGAAATAACACAGCAATACATGGTGTTATTTCTTGTAACTTAAAATTTTTTTCTAAAAAATTTTAATTATATTATTTATAAATAAAAAAAAATACTAATGCGTTATAAAATTAATCATTGTGATGTAATATTAAACTATATTAATAATGAAAAAATGTAGTAGCTTTTCATTTATAAATTATAAAACTTATTAAAAACACTCGAGGGAATCTCGTGAAATGTAAATTTAGAACGTTATTTGAAGACTTTCATAAAAGTTTTTACATAAAAAATATTTTCATTTAGTACTAATTACGTCCGCGACTTACTGGGATAGACTTGCTTGCGTTATTGTTACACAGGCCAGTGTACTAGGTATCTCTGAGGGATGATAAACGACATCAAATTCTGGTCATTTGACCTTTGATGTGTTCAGAATTATCAGTTAACTTAACTTTATGGACACTCACTATTATATATGGTTTCTTTCATACATGTGCTTATATTACTTGCATTTACTTACTCTAACTTGCCTACCTCGCTTTGAAATAAAAATTTTTGTTTGTATAAATAAAATCTGTTATTGGCTGTATTCATAAGAGACTTAGCTTGTAAGTTATTTTTTAAGAGCTGTGGATTTTTGTATAAAATAAAATAAAAAAAAAAGAATGAACTGACTGTTTCCAGAAAAGACCGCGCGGAGATCGACTTGATAGTTTTACGCTAAGATGCCATAAATCAGAAAGTATCGAACATGCGTTTTTTTTATAATACAAACGTGTGGTTCATCGGATGATGATGATGGTACGTAACTACCGTCGCCCATAGGTATCCGCAACACCTTAAAATAGAAATTTTGAATGAAATGAAATTGAAACAAATGAAAGTTACTAAGAATTCACCATTTTAAAATGGTGATTTTCTAAAGTTCTCGACTTGTCCGTATATTTAAAGCTTATTCACAATTACACATTCAATTATGATAATTATTATATAAATTTTGTAACAATTGAATGAATCCTGTCAATAAATACTAGTGAAAAACCAGTAAGTGTACGATACATGAGAATGAAGTCACTAGGAATTAACAACGATAGATCACGTATATAGATACCGATGGGGCATATTATTAGCAATGGGGCTGTTAAACCCCATTACTAGGGATTCCTTTTCTCCCTTGCTGTTTTCGGTGCGCTTTTTCTCTGGACAATTTAGATAAGTCATAAGAGCCATCCGTTCACTATCAGTGTGACCATATATTTGATTATTACTTTTAATATATTAAAAGTAATAATCAATCTTTTATTATTACTTTTAACCGAAGTGTAAACACAAATCAATACCTGTAAAATTGTATATTTCATACTCGGACTGGAGATCTGAATGGACTGCGAACGGTAAACGTCATATCGTTCAAAACCACCAGCGGCGTGATTTGGTAGATTTTTCATGGACCATTGGTCGGGATAACGAGTTTAACTCTCCACAGCCTTTATTTTATCTCGACGTGAAGTTGAAAAGGTTGAATTATGATTTTAGTAGATCGTGCGAAAACTCACTAACTCTAAATCTCGAGTAGATAGATAAATTTTGTAAGTTTTGGAAGTGAATAATTTACTTTGAAAGATCTAGAATTAACTTTGATTTAAACTTTTCAATAGAATCGTAGTTTAATAGTCATTAGTATATATATATAACTATATTCAAAGTTTCAGAATATCGTCAGTAAAGATATAAGAGTTTACTGTCTCCCCAATTGCAAAAATGAAAATACTTGTTTTAAGAATAAACAAGACATGAATCATTCATGATAACATTGTATTGTAATAATATTGTATTTAACTGGCTACGTAAGGATTAATAGTTTAACGAATTGCGAATTCTTCTTATAATAAAATACTTATATGTATGGTAAATTTCTGAACTATTTTTTTTTATGTGTGAAAATGTAATGGTAGCTCCCCCTACGCAATCGGTATACGCTGATGGTGCATGAGTAAAGGGCGATAGGTGAGGATGAAAACAAGTCAGTCTCTCATCATAACGAATTCATGTAGAATAAACCATGATGGTTTCCAAGGGCTACCGCGTGAAGTTCGACCTGGTAGGCTATATTATCAACAATAGGACTGTTAGTCTCTATTACTAACAATACCTTTCTACCTGGTTAAGCTGTTAGGCGGTAAGAGATGACTGTGGCAGCGGTTGTGTTTGCATAGCTGTGTTTCGGTTGAAGGGTGGCATATAGCGTGAATTTACAGAGTACAGAGGAATAACACCTCAGTCCTCAGGAATGGCAACGCATGGGGGGTATCATGGGCGAAACAGTATACTCTGTTGTGTCCATGGTACTGCTCATGTCTATAGGCGACGGTTACCACTTTCCATCAGGTGGGCCGTCAGCTTGTTTGCCATTATAAAAAAATAACTAGTTATTTTGATTTAAAAACAAAACTACTGATTGATTTTGATAAAATTTCTATAGGATTTCAACCTGTAAATATATCCTATTAGATAAAAAATAATTTTCTAAATCGGCTCACAACTAATAGAGTTAAAAGGTAACAAATATAAAAAAAAATATAACCGAATTGATTAGCTCCTTCTTTTTGAAGTCG